GGCTGCGGTTGACCTCGCGCCAGTGCTTGACGCTTCTCACCGTGAGGCCGCTCCCCAGCTTGCTGTAGGCGAAGGCGATGTCCGGCCTCGTCGTCGTCGCCGCGAACTGCAGCGAGCCGACCTTCTGCCGGTACTCCTCCTCCTGTCGCCCCTGTGCCTCCTCGTCGTCGAAGGTGAGCTCGGCGTAGGCGTCGACCGAAACCGGCGTCTTCGGGGTGCGCCCAGTCTGCTCCTCGTCGATGAAGCGCCTACGCAGCTTGTCGGCGTAGCCCTGCTGGTGCAGCCACAGTTTCCTCGCCGACATGTCGCGGTCGATCTCCAGCCTGAGGTACTTCCGCACCGGCGAGATCTCCCGCAACTCGAAGGCGGACGCCAGCAGCTCCTTCAGCTCCTTCAGCATCCCAGCGCTGCTGCTGGCGGCAAGCAGGTCGTCGTCGTAGACCAACACCCAGCAGGCCACTCCATCGTCGTCGACCTTGAAGTACAGAGCCTCGTCGACCTGGCTCTTCTTCCACCTGGCGCCGACTAGCACGTCGTTGAGCACCAAGTACCACAGCAGCGACGACGGCTTCAGCCCGTATAGGCTCTTCAGCAACTTGCACACTCGGCTAGTTCCGTCGTTGAAGTAGTCGGGCTGGGACATGTAGAGCACCCGGTCGAGCTTGCTCTGCACGAAGGCGATCTTCATATCGAGCTGCATCAGGTTGAGGTTGAGGACGGCGTCGATGCTGAGGAAGATCCTCAGCGTGATGTAGCTGCCCACCGGCGCGAACGTCTCGTCGTAGTCGGCGCCATACACCTGGGTGAAGCCTTTCACGACCAGCCTCGCCTTCTCGCGCTCGACGGTGTCGTCGACATGGTACTTCGCCGCCAACACCCACCGGTTCTTCACGATGTTCACTCCCAGTGGGCGCTCGACCAGCTCCCAAGTGCCCATGTTGATGAGGCTGCGGATCTCCTCCTGCATGGTGGCCTTCACCGCCGGGCCCTTCCAGCTTGCCAACGCCTCCTTCACCATTATCATTGAGATGTCCCAACGGTGCTCGGGGTCGGCATGGATGTCGGGGTCGAGCTCCGGAAATTCCTCATCCTCCTCGGCGTCGTCATACGACAGGTCGTCATCGTCCACGTCGTACACCGTGGTGAAGGCAGCGGGGACGAAGAAGTTGGGCGGCCTCCGAAGTCGGCCTAACTTCTGGGGTTCAGACCGAACCTCCACCACGTCGCTGTCGGTGGACTTCTCCCCTTCGTCACCGGCTTCGCTGCCCTCGTCGTCCTGCGGCACCTCGGTCGACTTCCTGGTCCACCTTTCCCCTGTAGTCGGCTCCTCTGCCAATTGCCTGGTTGCCGACTGCTCCGTGGTCGGCGTCACCGCAGCCTGCTCCCCTGTCGGCTGCTGCCCTACTGGTGTCTTCTTCGTCGGCTTCACCCAAGTCGGCTGCTCCTCCTCGACCTGCTCCTCCTCGACCTGCACTTTCACGTCGACTTGCCGCTCGACACGTCGGCCACCGGCAATGCCCTTGGCAGGCGTCGAAGGCGACGTCCCATTACTCCCCTCATCGCCGGAGGCCGACATAGGAGTCAGCCCGTGCAGGTCGGCCACAAGGGGAGGGGCAGGGGTCGTAGGGGGAGGGGAAGGAGGACGGACGACCTCGACGTCCTCACCAGCAAGGTGACCGACCTCGGCGAGCAGAGGCTGCGTCGCCGTCGAGAAGTCAGACGGCGGGGTGGTCGGCGTCCGTCCTGACATCGGCCCGTGCTCCGACTTCCACACCTCCAGCGACATATCCTCGTAGAAGACCACGTCCGACATGGTGACCACCCGGTTGTCAGCAATGTCGAGGAGCTCCCAGCCCGTGCTCTCCGCCGACACACCAAGGTGAAGCCCCCACTTAGCCTTCGGCTTCAGCTTTCTGCCACGCTGCTGCTCGGGGACCAAGAACTGTGCCATGCAGCCCCACACCCGTGCCAGCGACAGGTCGGGCTTCTGCCCGGTGAGCAGCTGGTACGGCGTTGTCCCCGGCGGCAGCGTCGACCTCTCAAGGCAGTTGCGGACCCAGACGGCCTGCCGCAGAGTGAGGTGCCACCAGTGGTGTTGCACGCCCATGTGCAGCAGCATCGTCCGCACCGTCTCCACCACCGTCCGCATCTCCCGCTCCGCCATGCCGTTCTGATGAGGGGTGTGCGGGTAGGTCAGATTGTGGACGATCCCCTTGTCGTCCACGAAGTCGGTGAACGCCCGTCCGAGGAACTCCCCACCTTGGTCGGAGTGAAGCATCAGCACCGACTTCTTCACCTGCCGCTCCACCAACACCAGCCACTTGTGGAACTCGAGCAACACGTCTGACTTCTTGGCGACCGGCCTCACCCACACATAGCGGGTCTTACGGTCCTTCAGCAGCAAGAAGTGCAAGCTGCCGTCCTTCGCAGCCACACAGAACGGCCTGCACAGGTCGATGTGCACGACGTCGTCGGCGTCGGAGCCTTGGTCGGGGAAGGTGTGCCGTGCCGGCTTCCCGCTGATGCACGAGACACACGGTGAGTCGGCGCCCGACGCCGACTTGAGGTCCAACCCAGTGGCGACCTCGTGCTTCACCGAGCTCCGTATGGTGTCCATGCCGACGTGCGCAAGCCTTGCATGCAACCTGTCCGGCCCCGCCTTCGTCGCCGAGACGATCGCCCGCAGGACCACGACCTCCGTCGTGGGTGACGTCGACCTCGTTGAGTAGGGACGCAGGTCGGTGCAGAGGACACGCCCGGAGTACGTCGCCCGACCAAGCACTTCTCCCGTTGCCGAGACGAGCAGCATCCCGTCGCCGTCCTCCTGCATCTTCACGCCGTGCTCCTTCAGCCGGCCGGACGACAGCAGGTTTGCTCGCACACCCGGGACGTACAGCACATCGGGGATGAGTACATGCCTCCCGGCCCTGGACGTCATGCAGCGCTCCATTGAAGCCGCGCACGTGCTTGATGGAGCCGCTCGGCTGCAAGTCGATGAAGACTTCCTTCGTCCCCATCAGGTGGTGGGAGCAGCCGCTGTCGAGCAGGACCATCGTCGGGTTTGCCTACGCAGCTGCCGCCACTGCCTGGAAGTCTTGGCCGGCCTCCGCCGCCAGCGAGACGGTCGGCTCCACGACGCCGACCAGCGAGCACGACGCCGTCTTGTCGTCTCGCCCCTTGTCGCTAGCAGAGGAATCGGTGTCCTTCGCCGAGGTCGACTTCGTCGACTGCTTCTCCTTGCGCGGCGAGTTTCCTCCTCGTCGAGGACGACGACTGCCAGACCTCCCGCGGCCTCCCTTGGCGTCGTCGTCGTCGGAGTCACTGCGGTCGGGGCATTCGAAGGAGAGGTGGTCGGGGTCACCGCACAGCCAGCACTCCCGACGTCGACCTCCTCCTCCTCGACCGCTGTCCTTGGTCGACTTCTTCTTGTCGACTTCCTTGGTCGGCTTCCAGCCACTGCTACCACTGTCGCCAGACGGCCCGCGCTGCCCCGGTCGGCCACCTTGCTTCGCCGGGGCGACGAAGTTTGCCTGCGCCAAGAGCTCCTTGGACCGCTCTGCCTCCTGCATCGCCTCGTCTTGCTGGATGTCCTCGTTGAGCGTCGTCCTCGTGCTCAGCGCCATCAACAGCAGCTTCAGGAGGTTGTAGCTGCTCGAAAGTCCCTGCATGACGTGGGTGACGTACGACGTCGTCGAGTACTGCGCGCCAGCCATCCTGATGGTGGCGAGAATTCGCCGGGCTCGGTTGCAGTAGTCGGTCGCCGTCTCCTCGTCGCCCATACGCAGGTGCGTCAGCTGCCCTTCCAGTTGGGCGATGCACAGGTCGTCGGTGACCTGGTACGTCGACTCGATGAAGTGCTACGCCCGTTGGTCGGCGTCGAGATACTCTCGGCACCACTTCAAGGCGATCTGCACGCCTGGCGAGCAGCACCGCGAGATGACCGTGAAAGTCAACAGCTGCTCGGCGCGAAACTCCACCCGCAGGTCGGGGTGGTGCTCATCTGGCGTCGCCACTGTCCCTCAGGCGAAGCAGATCAGCCCGGCCATCTCCAACTGGGGCTCAATGGCTTCCTTCCATGTGAGTATGTCGGGTCGACCAACGAGCGGCGGGATGACCAAGATCCTGTCCGGCGTAAACTTGAAGTAGCCGTAGCTCGGTGCAATCCCGCCCGCTGTCACGTGGGTCGCCGACATCGGTGACAATCCGCTTCGTCGACCTCCGACGTCGCCCTGCGAGGAGCCTGCAGCTGCCGACGACTGCATCCCTCGCGCCTGAACGCCGCCAACTTCATCGGCGTGAATCACACCTCGCTGCCTCGACGTGCCTCCCGCGCTGCTGCCGACTTGGCCACCTCCGACGTTGACGCCCACGTCGACGCCGCCTTCGTTGGTCACCGGTCGAGGAGAATCCGGTCGAGAAGGGGGATGCTCCGTCGCCCACATGGTGCGGAGTCCAGCCTCGACGACCGCCCAGGGTATCGCCCCGTACTCCTGGGCCTCATGGCGTCTCCTCGCATCCTCTAGCCGTCCCTCCAGGGTGTCCATCACCTCTGTATCACCTACGCACACGATAGGGACAGTACAGCTGCTGGCCTACGAGCAACTTAGGTAAGTGACCACTGCGTCGACCTGACCGAAAGGTAAGTTGTGTGCCGTCCACGCTCACCGCACCATGCGGAGATAACTATTACAACGGGAGCTAGACTACGGGCTAGGCACGTAAAAAAATGAAAGAAGCAAAATGAACGCAGAACGCGTTTTTGATCCGGCGACTAGCGGTGTAGAAGGCAGACCTGAGGTGTTGCAAACGAGTACGAGCAGTAGCAGGGAAGCGTTCATTTTTGGAAAGGTGGACTTCATCGGAATGTATGTCGTGATACTTTCGCTGGGGTTAGGGCATTAGTAGTCAAAGCCCCATACCTGTATATGCAGGCGCAGTTTCCTTCTTAGGAAAGCATCCCGTTGGCAACCTAGTCTGACAATTAAGGACCGTTGTTGCTAATGGGTGGCTCACGGACCTTTCAGGCCCTTCTCCTTATCCCGACTGATGACAATCAGCTCTATCCGCTCACGTCGGATGAGCTGCCACGTGTCCTCCTCCCAGTGGGAGGCCGCCCTCTTCTTTCCTACAACCTCGAGCTCCTCGAATCGTGCAACGTTCAATCCGTTTTACTCGTCATCGTCGGTGCTGACTCAGCAGCCGCGTCCCGAATCTCCGGCTGGGTAGCTCAAAATTTTCACGAGCGGCTGCCCGGCCTCGAGATTGCCGTCGTCTCCGAAGCCGTCGGATCTGCCGATGCGCTTCGGAGCATCTTCCACCGCATCGCCGACGTCCACGATCTCCTCGTTCTCTTCGCCGACGTCCTGACAGACGTCCCGTTAGGCTCCGTCGCCGCCGCTCATCGGCGGGAAGACGCCGCACTGACGATCGTCTTTAACGACCGAGATGGTTTAGCCGGCGGATCAGACGGCGCCGCCGGCGGTACGGGGAGCGGAGGGGACGCCAGGTCGGGGGACAAGGGGAAGAAAGGAGGAGCCAGCGGAGGCGGAAGCGGCGGGAAAAGCGGCGGGGGCGGTAAAGCCGGCGGGAAGAGCAGCGCTGTCAGTCCGGATTTAGTCGGATTGGACGCGTCAGGGAAGCACCTCTTAATCTTTCAACCAGGCTCTAACTCCGCTGGCAGCGCGCCACGTCAGACTGCGCTTCGTCGGGCCCTCCTAGAGACGGAGGGGCGCGTGGACTTGTGCACGGATTTAGTCGACTCTCGAGTTTACGCGTTTCGTCGAACCGCTCTCCAGAATTTCCTCGCGTCGCAGTCTGGCTTGTCCTGCCTGCGACGCGACGTCCTGCCGGCCTTCGTGCGCGATCTGCAGCCGCGCCGGCAGCTGCTCCTCGCGTCGCTCCTCCCGCCGTCTGCCGGCCTGCCTTTCGCCGCGGCAGCCGGCGCCGCCGCAGGGCTCGTGTCGCCTGCAGCCTCCGCCGCGGCCGCATCTGGCGGCGGGGTTAGCGGATCCAGGGACGTGCTAGGAACTGGCAGAGGGGGAAGCGTCGGAGGAGACGCTGAGGGAAGCGGTGGCGGCGGCGGCGGCGGGGGGGGAGGTTCTTTCAGCAGCAGCAGTGGCGACGGTGGGAGTGGCATCAGCAACGGTGGTGGTGGCGCCGGTGGCAGCGGCATAGGAAGAGGAACAGCAGCAGCAGCAGCAGGAGGAGGAGGAGGATTAGGAGGAAGCGGAGGGATTATGCTTGCTAACAGTGGAAGCGTAGGGGATCTCGAACTCATTAGCAGCAGCGGAAGCGGCAGCGGCGGCAGCAGCATTGGCAGCAGCGGCAGTAGGGCGTTCGTGGCAAAGAAAGGAACGTTTTGGTTCTCGGTAGACAGCCTGCAATCTTACGTTGAGCTTAACCATGCCATGGCTTCCCGCCCAGGCATCCTCACTCCCTTTCCCGCCTCTGCCTCAGGCGCTGATTCCGCCGCTGCCTCCGCCGCTGCTGCTGCAGCAGGCGCAGGGGGGGGTGGCGCGGGGGGAGGGGGCGCTGCGGCCGGGAAAGCAGCTGCCGCAGTCCACGAGAGTGTGAGTCTTGCTGCTAAGGCGACGATAGGGCCGCATTGTATGGTGGGCGAGGGAACTTCGGTGGGGGAGAAGAGCAGCATCAAGCGGTCTATCATCGGGCGGCATTGCCGGATTGGAGCGCATGTGAAGCTGGTGAACTCCGTGATTATGGACCATGTGACTATAGGCGATGGGTGCCTGGTGCAGGGGTCGGTGGTGAGCAGCAATGTGCTTATGCAGGAGCGCACGAGCGTGGTTGACTGTTATGTGGGGCCGGGATTCGTGGTGGGTAAGGATTATAAGGAGAGTGAGCTGTCGAAGAAACCCAAGGCTCAGGCGGCTCAGAGTTAGCTGCACTGCACTGCGATGATTCCTGGGGCGTCTCAGAATTGAAACATGTGTGCCTCAGGGTTTGTGGTGGGTAAGGATTAGAAGGAGAGTGAGCTGTCGAAGAAACCCGAGGCTCAGGGTCAGAGTTAAGTGCGATGCGATGGGTCTTTAATCCTGAGGCGCAGCAGGCCTCTGGGAGAGGATTCGTTGTGTTGTGTGTGGCAATCTGGCAAAGGGTTTTCAGGGGAGTGAGCAGTCTGAGATGAGAAGCCCCGAGCTCAGGGTTGGAGGTTGCTGTGGGAGTGGGTTTGTCAGGAGAGTGGTGCGTGTTGTTGTGATGGTACTGGCAGCAGTTAGTGGTAGTGGTACTGGCTGCTGCTTTGTGTTGTTGGGGGAAGTCGTGGGACGGGACGGGACAGTTGTGGTACGGTATTTTTTCGGTAGAAACCAGCTTTATGAAGTGGTTGTTCGGTTACTATATGCGGCCTGTAAGCAATGCCATTTTCAGCCGACCAACTGCCATGCCGTGTGGCAAGCCATGATTCTGCACTGCATGCCTTCTTTCCTGATACCTTACCGGTGTTGGGCTGAGTGCCCCTTAGGATCTTTGGTAGGGTTAAACTCAGAGTAAAGTGATGTAGTAGCGGAAGCGTTTAGATGAAGTCCTTGAACCACCTTGCGCTGGTATGTGAGGGCAAAGTAAGTTGATAAAGACAAAGAGATACAAGATTTTGTATAAGATTACAAGGAATAAGAAGAGATACGAATGATAACTGTTTTACTGTTTGCGGTTCGATACAGTGCGACTCGGGCAACTGCTCAATATCGAGTCAGTTGTGTGTCCTTGCTGTCGCGCTGCATTTGTCAAGTCAAAGGTCGCTGTGTCAAATTATAATATTGTGTAGGCTGTAGTGGGGTAGCTCATATGGGGTACACATTTCTAGGGTTGCATATTTGTACGTCATACCCCGGATATACCCCCATGGGGGGCACTAAAAAAACGTGTTTTTTTTGGGGGGTGGGCTTATAATATAGTAATTTTATAAGCGTCGGGGCTTATACAATGACATATATGAAATCTAGTTGTTTTCACTTCAAAATGTTCATCTTGTCATTGCGATTTCAATCGAGTCAAGATCATAGTGGGTGTGAAGAAGAATCTCGCGTAAGTTTGCAAACTGCCAACACACACAGTCAGAATGAGTCATTTCGCCCCATGACAGCTCATTCTGACTGGACACGCAGTCAAATGAGTCGCGCGAGGGTGGGGCAGTAAGTCGCGCGAGGGTGAAGGGTCGAAATTTTATCAAGTGAGGATGCAAATAGTGTGTTTCGCTACAGAGATTCGAGTAACTTTATAAAAACTAATACAAATGGTGGCTCTTATAATACGTAAGCCTTCAGGGGGTGCGCTTATAATCGAGCACCGGATATAAGCGCCACACGCCAATTAAAAGCGCCAGGCGCTTATCCGCGGGTGGCGCTTATATCCGGGGTATGACGGTATCACTTCCATTCCTTAGTCATTCATTCTCGTTCTACCGTCTCCCCCCGGATATAAGCGCCACCCTAGGATAAGCGCCTGGCGCTTCTAATTGGCATATGGCGCTTATATCCCCTCCTCGATTATAAGCGCACCCCTTGAAAAAACTTGTTTTATTATAAGCGCACGTAAACTTTAAAATTTGAAATGTGTTCAAAAAGCTGTAACGATTTTTACTTTAGCAGGCGGATATGTTGCAGATTCGGTTCCCTTCACATTCGGACCCTGCACTGGATGCGGGTCCAGTCAGCAGGACCTATCAGGAGCTGGATGTGAGTCAGATTGGGTGTATCTCCCAGCGCGCGCGAGAATTTCACAGACGATCCCATGTAACTTCGACTCGATTGAAAAGGCAAGCACGAGACCTACAGTTTGGTGTTAAAAGATATAAAAAAATATGTATGTCATTTTATAAACGCCGGCGCTTATAAATTTACTCGATTATAAGCCCACCCCCATGAAAAAACCTGTTTTATTATTGCCCCCCATGGGGGTATATCCGGGGGGATACGGTACTTTCCTCATGGTATCTGTTGGGAATATAAACGCATGACTTAGTGCGTTCCTGTAGTATCGAACCTCACCCGATACTGGAGCACAACAAAAGGAGTATGAAGTCGAAAAAAGGCGCGTACCACATCAAACCGCAACTGGAAGTTGCGAGCCGTAACCGCCTGGAGGTTACGCAACAGCAGGCGACGCTTCAGTGAACAGTAACCGCCTCGATAGTCGAAGCGTTACGCGTCTCGATAAACATAACCGCTTCCTGTAATCTATCTTTTCTATATATTCCTGTATGCTCTTTGCTTCAATCAATTACTTGTTCTCACATACCAGCACAAGTACATTCACTCAAAAGACTTCCGCTGTGCTACTCTAGCACCTACTAGCCTATTCTCTCCAAAGATCCTAAGGCTGAAATCCTCAGCCCAACATGGTATGAGAGCAGTCAGAGAACAAAGGCTCTCGTCACTAAGCCTCTTCCAGGCTACCGATCTGCAAGCAACCAAGAAGTTCAATCTTCATTCAAGAAAGGCAAGACATGGCAAGTGGCAAAGAAAGAAGATCATCCACGGGATCTACTCTACCCCCGGTCTCCGAGTTGCAGACCGAAGGAGGAACAACGCCCGGATTAACGCCGGAAGCGACGGAACGTTCTACTCAAGCGCCAGTAGCGCCGCCAACAATCTTCAACCCAAGCTTAATGGAGGAGTTCTTCAACTTCATGTCGCAGCAGCAGTCCTCACAACCTGCAAACAGCAACAGCGTAAACAACGGAGCGGCACCAATGAGTATTGACAACTCATCGTTCGGACGACATAATCAACAAACACCAAATTCGGTCTCACCTGGTTCCTTCACGTTCATGTCAAACATTATATATATTGTTGTAGTTGTTTAGGCTACAGTGGGTTAGCCTATAGGGGGTACACACTTCTAGGTTTCCATATTTGTACTCATTTCATCCTTAGTCATTTCATTCCTCGTTCAACATGGTATAGAGCAGGTCCTTCCTAGGACCGTTTTTCCTAAGGGCCCACCACTACCTACCTGCCTATCTGCCTACCTGCCCTAGGGTGCCTCGACGTTCACGCCTCTAGAGGCCCTGTAGGCCCCGCGCTGTTGCACCTAGAGGCCCCGAATCGGCCCCGCGCCTAACCCTAACGGCCCGCGTCGGCCCCGAGCTCGTCCCCTAGAGGCCCGCAACGGCCCCGCGCCTACCCTAGAGGCCCGCGTCGGCCCCGAGCCTACCCCTAGAGGCCCGCGACGGCCCCGTCCTTACCCCTAGAGGCCCGCGACGGCCCTGTCCTTACCCCTAGAGGCCCGCGACGGCCCCGATCCTACCCCTAGAGGCCCGCGTCGGCCCCCGATCCTACCCCTAGAGGCCCGCGTCGGCCCCCGTCCCTACTCCTAGAGGCCCGCGTCGGCCCCGTCCCTACCCCTAACAGCCCGCGTCGGCCCCGTCCCTACCCCTTACAGCCCGCGTCGGCCCCGTCCCCAACCCCACCCGCTCCCCGCGCTCCCCTTAGCCGCCTCGAACGGCCCCACCTAGACCGCGCCGCCCGCACCGAACAGCCCGGCCCTAACGGAACCGAGCCGCCCGAACCGAGCCGCCCGACCCGAGCCGCGCCGCCCGACCCGAGCCGCCCAAACCGAGCCGCGCCGCCCGACCCGAGCCGCGCCGCCCTACCTATACCGAGCCGCGCCGCCCTACCTGTACCGAGCCGCGCCGCCCTACCTATACCGAGCCGCGCCGCCCTACCTGTACCGAGCCGCGCCGCCCTACCTACCTACTGCTCCTGCTGCTTTTACTACTGCTACTACCATGGCTAGCCCTCCAGTGCTAGCCTTCGATGCTGAGGGGCGCCCAGTGAAGTTCGACACCTGGCTTGATGACCTACACCTCTTCCTACAGCTCACTGCCAAGGAAGACATCTCGCTGTACGATCACGCCCTAGGCCACGCTACTGCTCCTGCTGCTACTGCCGACAGCACTGCTCGCTCACAGTGGCAGACTCGTGACGCCCATGCTCGCTTCGCTATCCGCAACTCTCTGCCGATAGATGAGCGCGAGCACTTTGGGCAGCACAAGACTGCACAGGCACTGTACACTGCTGTCGTTGCCCGCTACTCCTCACTGGCCTCTGCTGCTCTAGGCCGTCTCTCTCTTCCCTACCTGTTCCCCGACTTAGCTTCCTTTCTCACTGTCGCTGACCTCATTACCCACCTCCGCACTAGTGAGGCTCGCTTCCGCGCCGCTATGCCTGATGAGTTCCTCGCCACGAACCCACCCCCGCTCTGGATCACTCTCTACCACCTAGTCACGCGCCTCCCTGACTCGCTGCGCTCAGTCAGGGACCACTTCCTCGCTCGCTGCCCCACCGAGCTCACCATTGCCCTCCTCGAGAAGGAACTCCTTGCAGCCGAGACTAGCATAGTCGCTGTAGGTGCCTCTCGCGGTGACCCCCGCACCCCGTTCTTTGAGGGGTGTTCTCCCTCCCCCCTTCTTCCCTCTGTCGCCTCTCCTGCTGCTGTCGACCTCCTTGGTGCTGAGAAGGTCGGGACTGCGTCTGCTTCGGGCGGACGCCGCAGCGGCAAGGGCAAGGGGGGCAAGAGCGGTGGTGGTGACAGCGGGGGTGGCGGTGGTGGGGGAGGTGGTGGCGGGGGGGGTGGCGCGGGTGGGGGAGGTGGCAGCGGTGGTGGGGGTGGCGGCAGCGGCGGGGGAGGTGGCCGGGGCGGAGGAGGTAGTGGGGGTGGCGGTGGACGAGGCGGCGGCAGGGGTTGGGGTGGTCGAGGAGGTGGTGGCGGGAGTGGTGGGCGTAACGGCACTGGCGGTGGCCAGGGACAGCAGCACACTCCCTCGCCCCAGGAGGTCCGTGAGTGGTACTCTCAACACGGGGGGGGGGGGGGTGGCCTTAGCTGCACGTACGTCATTCGCACTGGTGACCGCACTGGCCAGCCGTGTGGGGGACCGCAC